CTTAAAGTTTATCGTATGTTGCAAAATTTGTACGAAAAAATTTCATTGTGATTAGATGATATAACGGCACTGAATTTCGTTATAATCTATTCTAAGAGTGTTAGTATGTCATAACGCGAGATGTCATATACTACTATACTACAAAATCTCACAAAATGTCCAAAAATTGAATTCGAATATTTTCAATCTTCAGCCTTAATCTCTAAGCATTTTTTATGATTGACGTGTATCACACGCACTAATGTAAGATGTATTCTGTAGAGTTTGGGACTAGAAATTGGTCTCGGGAAAAAGAACGGTAAAGCGGCAGTATTTCAGGCCGTTTCGACTAAAAAGTCCATTCGTACCAGGGATTGATTTACTTGTCCCCATTTCTTCATTTTTGGAATGTCGAGGAGGTAGTGGCAATGCTCTGGGCACGTGTCGAGCAACCCATGGGTCATCGAAATCCTCATATGACGGTATTATGTTGCGCGAGAGAAGCGATTGTTTCTCTTGTGCAAGAATATCCTCATAAATTGATTCTTCCTGGCTCTTTACATATGATCTGAAAAGTATTGATTGTTGTGTTTTGCATCCCACTGATTGATTAGTACCTGTGGTTCGTTTTGAAAAACTGCGAAGGATGTTGTCGATCATGCAGACTGGTAAAGTTCTGATTTATATACATCAGTTCCCCGTGATTACTCATCTCCGAACGGTCACGATCTTCGAATCTTGAATGCATTGTTGGCGGTAGCTAAGTGTAACTGCCTGCATCACTGAATTTACCATACCCTTACCGTGCTCTGTTTTCAAGCCTGTATGGAAGTGGAATAGCAATGTCAGTTAAGTCATCCGTATTACTCGGAAACTGTACGGAAAACGGTAGGCTCGCTTGAACTGACCGAGTCGGTCCTATTCTCCAGGGCCTCATTACACCATATTTCTTTCGAGGTTCTTGTTTCCAGATCACAACACTGGACTGAACATACACTTTCGTCTGGATCACATAACTAGGATGCCTACTTGCCTTCTGATGCGAATTTCCTTTCCAAATTCTTTTGCCCGTTTTCAAGTGGTTGGCTTGAGTTGGCCAGGGCTTCCTGATTATAGATCTCATAGGCGGAAGTGGAATGGGATTCAAAAATCGTGGCGGAGTGATCAAGCTCGGTGACGAAGACGCCGACGTGTCCTTTTGCTCCACACCAACTATTGGCAGCACTTCATGTTTTTCTAAAAACAGTTGATTGAGTTCATTGCTCAAGGTTAATATTGCGTGTATTTGTAGCTTCAAGGTTCAATTTCGCTGTAAGTAGGAGTTCAAAGCAAATTGATAACACCATTTCCTTCATTAAAAAATGATTTATTTCATTGTAAAGAAGCCTCTGTATTAATCTGGGTGTGGTGTATCCCATAGCTATCTTTTATAAATCTTGTTCAGACAACTTAGTTAGACGCAAAACTACATTCTTTACAAGCCGGATCTACTAATTTAGGAGATTATGATCCAAAGCAAAGATAAGTTCCACTTCGCTCAGTTTGCGCGAGTTTTGTTTGGACCAGACAAAATGCCAGCTTTGTAATCATTCTAAAGCCATGGTTGCGCATCCAGCTTGATACGGAAGGGTTTCTCCTTATTTCCAAA